GTGTGTGTGAGAGAGAGAGAGAGAGAGAGAGAGAGAGAGAGAGAGAGAGATTGTATGTGTGTGTAATAACAATAAGTCAAAAGACAGGCCACAAACTTCATGGAGAGCATGGAGAGGTATATGGAAGAGGCTGGAGGGAGGAAAGGAAAGAGAGAAACACTGTGATTAAATTATAGTATTAAAATTTTTAAAAGAACATGAATATTGTTTTACCTCTTGAAAAATGAAAGGTCTGCTTCCTTGAGAGAACCATTTTGTATTTAAGTTGTGCAGTTTGTCCAAAACCGCTTTTATGTCTCCAGGCCACATGTGCTTAGCAGCATCAAGTCTGAACCCTGCTACACCAATGTCAATGAGACGGTTCATATATTCAGCCACCTTGGAACGAACGTAATCTTTCTCGAGTGCAAGATCCAGAAGTCCAGACAGACGACAATTTCTGACCTATTAGAGCAAAAAATGATTGATTTCTTAATAGTCAAGTATGATCTACAAATCCATTTAATCATTCAGTTACTCACCCATTTACAAATGAACATTTTTATATTGTCCTTACTGAGAACATGGGTAGTACTGTTGTTTTAATTTCGACACAGATTTTAAAATATCTTCTGTTGTAGTTGTAGAAAATATCAGATAAAATTGTTGAGAATTTTTATCTGGTTATTTCTCTCTCTTTTTTCCATCCCTTCTCTCTGCTCCATCTCTCTGACATCCTCTCCCTTCCTCTGCTGCTCTATTTCTAGTTTTCTTCCTTCTTTATATTATGTAGTTCACAGAATCCATTTCTGGAACTTCCACATGATAAGTAAGTGTACTGTTCCAAATCTGAAAATATAAACTAATACTTGAAGTAGTTTTAAAATATTGATTTTTAACTTTTAATATTTTCCATATTGTGATGTTTATATAACTGATAAAACAATGCTTTTAAATTATTCACACAGTGTCCCTAGAGAGCATGTCTCCATTTTAGCCTTGACTTTTGGTGTATCCTTACAAAATAATTCGACAAACATTCAGGACATTTTTTCCATGTCTATTTTTCAAGCATTCTGTCTTAGTAAGCTGTTTTCCTACAGAATCTGAATACATCTAATGGTTATCCATAAATTCCTTGTGCATTCCCAGATGTGTAGATACTTATTTATTCTGATCAATATTTCTCTCATTACCTGATTAGCGTCATTGTAGTTAGAAATTTCTCCATTACATTTACCATCATTAAAATCCCAACCAGAGTATGGAACTGATGGAAAATCCCTGTTATTAGCATTGTAGTAACTTCCACAAGTACTGCTTGTTCCTGCGCCACCACCTGCGCCACACATGTGATTAATAACAGCGTCCACATAAATACGGACCTGGAGAAGAAAAATGCATATTTCAGCTAGACTTAGGAATCCAAAGTTTCAATAGAAAGCTCATAACATGCTAGCAAATTTCCAAAATATATTTACTGTTGCTTTATAGATTCATTAGAAAAGGCAGTCAAGTGGGAAAGGAAAGAAATGTGAAATAAGATCAGCAATATCTGGAAAAGAGCATAGAACTGTTATGTGGAGATAAACAGAAACTATCATAATTACAAAAAAATACCAATTTTGAGAAAGAAAAATGCAGTATAAAAAATTTGAGTACTATGTTTGAAATTTTTCAGTATCACTAGAACTTAGATTACAGTATCTACTATGTGTCTAAAGACCAGAAGGTAGATAGATGTCCCTTCATTATAAGAGAAAGTAGATAATTACCATTAAAAGAGTGATGGGGAAGAAAACCCAAGAATTGTTGGGAGAAAAGGGAATTATATGAAATGATGTAATTCTCCCATCTGACACAATGCCTAACAGAAATATATTATGAAGAATTTGTTGTTATTAGTTTTAAAAGTGAACATTTTGCTGTATGAGTACTATTCTTTCAAATTCAAAAGGCATGTTTTCAAGGTTTTAAAAGGTGACCAGACAGAAATGCATATTTTAATAATAGATAAAAATAACGCAAAATTTTAGAAATTCAAAACCTACTCAAACAAAACTAACTAGAAACAAAGAGAAATATGTTCTTACATAATGATTTTAAAGAAGACATGGCATCACTTACACCAACATTGTTGCACCTCGTCACCATGTCTCTGAATTCATCTTCATTTCCTGACCTTGTACATATTTTGTAGCTAATTGGTTGATATCTTTCCCACCAAGGCCTTGATGGATTATAAACCACAATATTTTCATTGGGTGGAGAGACCTACAAATAAAACAATTATAATTAGTACAAGAGTACAGCTTACTTTACATAACTAAATCTTCTAGGAACTTGTCAAAGATCTGACATGTCTTCTCAACCTGCGCACATACATGCCCCTCTGTTGATTATCAACACCCTGAAAATAAGGAAAAACATTGTAGAGGTCCCACGTATATCCTACAACAAAGTATAAAGAAGCTATCACTAACAAACTTTTTTCTTCCACAGGAAAGTTATGTGTGAAAGAAGTTATTGTCCAGACTCATGATACTTGATTAGAATTGTTTTATGTGATCACAGTAAACTCTGCATTTAAACCTTAAATATCTTACCTGCACCCCTCCAAATCCTTTAGGAGCTAAGTATCGTTCACATTCCTTGGCAATATCAACCCAGCGCCATTCAAACAGGTGGACAATAGCAGTCCGCCCATACTGAGTTTGTGGGTCATATTGAGCCCAGCAGAATCCAATGAGGGAAAGCAGCAGGAAGAACTTCATTTTGCTTTGAAGTTGTCAGTGTTCTTTCTAGCACCTATTTATATGCTGCAAAAGGTACATTTTGCAAAGTAAATGTACATGAATAAATATTTAGAGTACAAACTATAATCTGAAAGAGATTAGCAGCAATGATGTGAGCAGCTGAAGAATCTTCAGAAACTCCCATGAAGAATAAACTTAATGTTTTTCAAGGTGAAGTATTATTTGATTTGTACTAGTTATTATTTGTTATATCCTCCACCAGTATATTAGAACTGAAATAAAATATATCTAGAACTTTCCATCTTTAAATCTTTGTATTACCCCATAACAAATAGAAATGGGATCATCAACTCAGCCTTTTTGTTCCCTACTTACAGTTTTTTGTCATTTCAATTTTTTAATTGAATTTTTAAAAACTACAAAGTATGATGGCATGCACCTGCTATCCCAGTACTAGGGAGAAAGAGAAGTTGAGATTTTGTGCAAATCAGAGGAATATAGAAAAGCCTCAGAATAAATAAATAAATAAGAATTATGCAAGGGGTGACATTAAATTTAAATGCCTCTGGATCATAGAAATATATATTTCCCCTCCATCAATCCAAAGGCTTGCTCAGTGGTCAGAGCAGTAGAGCCCATTGTGAGAGCCAAATATCTATACTTCCTGAAATGTTACTTAATAAAAAGTAAAACTCCATTGTCTATCACAATAAACCTCAAATTTTATGAAAGAAAATTATAGTATAGGTTAAGAAACAATCTTCCCTTCCAATCAGCAAGAGATGGGTTAGTGTCCTCAATTTGCCAAAGACTGAGGATGTTAGGGATATAATGACCAACAAAGCAGTTTCTTATTCTAGAAGTTACTTTCAGTATAAAAAAATGTAAGCATGTGCATAAATACAACTAAAGTATTAAAGGTATTAATAGCATAATATAGATAAACATAATGAGTAAAATTAACAATGTAGCGAATTTAATATAGATGCCTTTCTATATTATTTCTATATTCTATATCATTGTTTGGGGACTACTTCACTAAGGATGTGACCTTGCCAGTGGTTTGAATGATGAAAAGTAGAAGACATTTTCAATATCAGAAAAAAGAAATCATGACAAAGTAAGGATTACAGATGAAAAGAATTTAGAATAATTAAGAAATATTAATAACAACAGAAGTGCCAATGGCACTAGAGTGTGAATGAGAAGGGGAAACTGAAGTATGATGAAGTCATTGAGTTGGGCCAGGTCACAGCATTTCAGAACAGGAAGAGAACCAATGAGACTCTGTGGGGATTAGACAATGCTATACCAATAATTATGTGTTCTGTGCTCAATAAATGACTGTAACAGAGAAACTATTAAGTTCCAAGTTTTGAGTATTGGCCAAGTTGTTGAAATGAATAATTCCCTCATTTTTGCATAAATGAACACTAAATCAGAAATTGTGCAATATCCTCAATTCTAAGCCTTTTAAAAAAATCCATACACATAAAAAAAAACTATGGACCAGAGAAACTGAGGGAATCAGCCATGTTCATCTAATAAATAACAAATGCAGCATTTTTTCAATGGGTCTAATTGCAATTCAGTGTTTTCTTTATTATAGTTCTATTTATTATACTAGAATCTTGAAGGTGTGTTTCCCAATATGAGATAATAGTAATAATTGGCTATTGAGCTGTGAAATGTTGTTAGTCTAAGAGAATTCATTACTAGTGCAAAATAAAATTTGCTTTTCAGTGTTGTATACTAATAGATGGGAATAACCATTTCATTTGGTCACATCTTCAAAGGACATTTCATGATACATGAGGTAAAATGAAACTATTAACATTAATTCTTGTATATTTGCTTCATTTTAATTGACAATGATAAATGTTAAGTCATATACATGATTTGTATTCTACTCTATTAGAGCTGTTCTAGAATCACTGTCAAGAGGACACACAGCCCAAACACAGAAAGAAACAGTAATAAGGTTCAAGATAGGGTAACTATTTTAAAAGAATTATGGATAAATTGCTTTAGAATCTTATTAACACAAAAATCAATTCTAATAGACAGCAATGGGTCAAATAATTTAAATAATGTGATTGAATTTAAGGAACATAAATAAGATGAAATAACTTTTTAGTAAGAAATACTATGTATCAAAAGTTAGAACAGGAAAAACAATGTGTTATGTGCAAGGGAGCAAATGGTGTCAGAATTGTAAAGGCGGATGGATACAGTCAATGTCAATAAGAAGAAAACAAAATGTGAAAGGCTCAATAATTTTTGGCTACATGCTCTTATTTTATTTTTACACTTATTTCTTTTATTTGGGAATCCAATATTGGATACATTATTTACATTATTTTAGGCCTAACTTCTTTCTCCTCCATCTCCTCCTTGCCCCCTACTCCATCTTTCTAAATCATGAGTTCTTCCTTAATTATTGAATATATGTGTATCTATATAGGAATACAACCTGTTGGGTTCATTCAGTGATGCGCATATGTATATGTATTTAAGGAGGATCACTTAGCATTATCAGACAGTTAATACAGGAGATAACCCTATTCTCCCTCTCTTAGCAGTCATTCCTTAAATGTAGTTGCTCATCTACATTTGAGTTCTTAAGAGATTCCTACCTGAAGCCAATTTAATCATTTTGGAAAAGTATTTTATTGCTTTGAAGGCAGAGACAATGAAGCAAGAAACATTAGGAAACTCCCACAGTAGTGAAACAAGCAGTAATGAAGTTCTACAGTAAGGATAGAAATTATGAGAGTTCAGAAGACTTTTAAAATGAGATTGGCCCAAAGAATGATGTGTCCCAGTGCCTAGAACTATGTGGTGTTTCTTTCTGTAGAGTCTTTGGGATTAGCCTTTAATTTTTCCTGCCCAACACAATTTCAGTCAATAGAAAATAAGTAGAGCTTCCATCAGGATTTTCCTAGGGAATCTGTGAGAATTTTATACTATGAGCCTAACATGTACATAAGACAACATAAAGAGATCCAGTTGTATCTCTTCATATTGAATATTTGTGTTGGCTGACCATTTGTCTGCAGTCATATGGCATGTTCAGGCGATTTCAGGAGAAGTACAGCCTTTTCTACCCATATATTTATGATATATCAATTTTTATTCATCAAAATGTAAATAATGTGCAGAGAATGGAAAGAAAGGTAGATCGTGGTTAGAATAGGATGGGGAGGTAAGGTGTTTTGTTCTAAATGTGAATGGTAAAGTATCCCTTAAATAGGCTCATGTGTTTGAACACTTGGTCCCAAGCTGATGATGTCTTTTAGAAGGTAGAACCTTTCAGAGGTGAATCCTTGCCTAGTGACCTTTGTATCCTGCTTAAGATTTTACTTCCCCTATTACTGCACTGTCCCTGCTGCTGCTAATGTGGTTGTTGTTATTGTATGATAACATCAAAACATAAATTCATTTGACATCCATTGTAGATTGAAGAACAATGCCTCTCCAGAAACTCAGTGTTCAATTGGTAATGCTCAGATGTTCCCACGCATGCTGAGAAGCTGCTGATTCTCCAGTCTGAAGGTAACCATTTTTCCATTATCCAGAGTGAATCATGAAAGGCAAGCTACTAAAGATCCATTCATTTAAAATATATTTACTTCATTGACTTTGTTGTTTTAGAATGCTGATTATTTCCGGATGAGATGAGGTACACTGGTGAGACAATAGATTTGGAGAAATGTGTAAGGGAAGTGAAAGGGACAGAGGGGTCAGAAGAGATTGCAGACAAATTACATAGTATTAATTTATCAGGGTATCAGAACATAACAGATGCCATCCTTTGGCATTTACCATGCACAGGCCAATGAACATGGGCTGACTCATCAGACTTTCAATCTTGGATCTTGACAGTTTATAAGGTACTAAATGTAAGTACTAAAAACTTAGCAGTGATCTAAACCTATTTTGATCTTTGTGTGCTACAATTAAGACCTGCCAGCCATGATGTATCTATAAGTACAATAGTGGCATAACAGCTCCAGAATCAAGCAGCCACTTTCTGATTGGATCTCAGGTTTGCTCCGTGGGAAGCAATGTATATTTATCACTGTAAATTTTCTCAGAACCCCGTGACTTTTGAGGTCACAGAATAAAACCTGCTACCAATTGATGGGGGATATCATTCTGTGTATATGTTTATCTTTTTGGTTGATAAATAAAGTGCTGCTGGCCTATAGAGAAGCAAGTTAGGTGGTACTAGGAGTTGAGAAGGATTCTGGGAAATGTAGTAGGGTCAGAGTCACCATGTGACCATGAGGAAGACAGGACACAAGGCCGGCATCCTCGATAAGATATGTCTTATATATAGATTAATAGTTATGTTTGATAATTAAGACTGATCTTGCAGATAAGAAATCCTAGTCATTGGCCAGCAGCATTGTACCTAATATAGGTGTCTGTGTGCTATTTTGGCTGCCCACGTGGCGACATGGCCCTGGCAGCTTGGCCAAAAGATTTAACATTGCAAAAATTTAGACAGAAAAGAGGAGATGATGGGGAATGTCCTTCTGTGTATGTGTTTATCTTATTGGTTGTTGGATAAAGCATTGTTGGCCAATAGGGGAGCAAGATATCTGGGACTAGTAGTTGAGGAGAATTCTGGGAAATGGAGTAGGGTCAGAGTCACCATGTGACCACGAGGAAGACAGGACACAGGCCAGCAACCTCTATAAGTCTTATAAATATATAGACTAGTGATTATGGTTGATAATTAAGACTGAGCTAGCAGATAAGAAATCCTAGTCATTGGTCAGCAACATTGTACCTAATGTAAGTCTCTGTCTGTTATTTTGGCTGCCCACGTGATGGGGGAAAACTAAGGCAGCTGGCAGAAAGATTTATCGTTACAGCCAATATTTTCCCAAATGAAGATGTTGTTAGTATGTCTTTTAACTATTTGTGTTTACATCCATAGACTGGAGAAACTCCCAGTTTTAGTTAGAGAAGCCTCATGTAGTAGTGGGTGGCAATTAAATCAGACTCATAATAGAAGGCTCTTTGGAACACAGTAGAAGAGAATGGCAAGAATGTGACAGCTGGCAGAAAGGAAGAAGCAACATGCATTTGTAAACACGAATACACAGGAACTGAAATTATCTTCAAAGCCTTGCACACAAGAAGATAAAGAGAAAAAAGTGAAAGCTTGACTACTCAGGAAGAAGAAGGGAGTCAAAAAGTATAAGAAGAAAAATAAAAGAAGGAAATGGGGAGGTAAATATGATACACAATATATTGTACATATTACTGATGAAATTTTTTAATGTAAAATAGCAATAGGGATGTTATTAAGTGTTAAAATGTCTGCTTAAAATTTATGTGCTTTAGATTCAATTACTAACAATACACACACACACACACACACACACACACACACACTGGGACATTTGACGAGATTTATCTGAAAAATAATTTTCTTCAGATAAATGTATACATATATATGCATATCCAACATTTATGACTACTGTCATATGATGGTAGACATACAGTAAATATTTATCTATATAGATTATTTGAGGTTACTTAGTCTGTTTCATAACTGTATGATTGGAGCCTTTAATCTTATGTAGTAATTCATAAAGAATGATAGAAAATATTAACAATAATTATAGATTTATAATTTTAATGGTAATGGCAATTACCTTGATTTGGTGTTTATATATTTCATAATTATTGAATTGTTACATTTCAGGCCATAAATGTGTATAATTAAAATAAAGTGCATAAAAGGGTGAAAATTGAAAATCTTGTCTACTGTTAGAAGAAAATTCAAACTCAAAATTGAACATAGTATTCCCAAAAGTAATTTTCCAATCAATATTACATAAGAGGTTTCTTTATTTTTATTTAATGCCCACAAAAGCCATATTACAAAGGACTGACTCTACCATAAATTTAGGACTTCTCTGGACATATCAAGTACCATGATTTAATCATTTTAACTCATAGTTAAGTCAAAACAAAAAGTTATATAATTTGAAAATCTATGTAAATGTAAATTTAAAAGTGGTAATTTCTAAAACAACTTGTATTTTTAGCTTCTTGTTTTAATATATATACAAATTATTTACAAAATTCTTCCCTTAATGGAATGTAACCTTTCTTTTATTGTATACTAACGTCTTAAGAATGCAAATGAGGCTGCATGCCTGACACCTACCAAAGTGTGTGTACCCTCTGCCCCTACCCTACTTCTGTCCAGTGTCCCCAACACCCTGGATCTCTCTGAGCCTGTGCCTGCATAGAGTGGAACCGACCAGACAGGGAGGAGCTCCCTAAGTCTGGAAACACCTCACTCTTCCTTCCCCCTCTACTGGGCTGACCTCTATTGAGTGAGGAGACTACCAGGAGAGGCAAGACCATCCAGAGCTGCAGATATTGAAGTCTTGGCCCACACACACACCACCGGGTAAAAAGAGGAGGTAGAGAGACCCCACCTGCACCCACTGGAAGAAGAGATGGGAAGAAGACAGAATAGGAACACATTCGACAACAGAAACACCAATATGACACCACCAGAATCTAGGGACTCCACACCAGCAAGATCTGAACACAGAGCCCAACACAGAGGAGAAAGAAGAGAAGGACTTCAAAAATTTTCTTACAAAGATGATAGATAACTTTAAAGAGGAAACAAGAAAATCCCTTAAAGAAATAGAGGAAAAAACAAGCAAAAAAAAATACATGAAATGGAGGAAAAGACAAACCCAAAAATTCAAGAAATAAACAAATCTCTTAAAGAATCTAAAGAAAGCCAAGAAAAAACAACCGAACAAGTGAAGGAAGTACTCGAAACAGTTCAAGGCATGAAAGCTGAAATAGAAACAATAAAGAAAACACAGAATGAAGGGATGCTGGCAAGAGAAAGCCTGGATAAATGATCAGTAACTAAACATGTGAGTATAACCAATAGAATACAAAAGATGAAAGGGAGAATCTCAGTTGTTGAAGACTCTAGATAGGATATACAGTCATCGACCAAAGAAAATCTCAAGTCTAACAAATCCATAACACAAAATATCCAGGAAATATGGGACACCATCAAAAGGCCAAATCTAAGAATAATTGGTATAGAAGAAGTTGAAGAAATACAGCTTAAAGGTACAGAAAACATATTCAACAAAATCATAGAAGAAAGTTTCCCCAACCTGCAGAAGGATATGCCTATGGAAGTACAATAAGCTTACAAAATACCAAACAGACTGGACCACAAAAAGAAGACCCATTGACACATAATAATCAAAACACCAAACCAACAGAATAAAGAGAAAATATTACGAGCAGCAAAGGAAAAGGGCCAAGTAACATATAAAGGCAGACCTATCAAAATCACAACCTACATCTCAATCGAAAATTTGAAAGCCAGAAGATTCTGGATAGATATCCTACAAACACTAAGGGAGCATGGGTGCCAACCCAGACTACTGTACCAACAAAACTTTCAATCACTATAGATAGAGAAAACAAGATATTCCATGTAAAAACCAGACTTAAACAACACATATCCACAAATCCAGCACTACAGAAAGTTCTGGAAGGAAAATTCCAACCCAACGAAGATAGCTACACTCAGAAAAACATAGGCAATAGATAGTATAATTTTCCTAAACACAAAAAGAAACAGGAGGGTGAAATCCACACACTGTGACACCACCAACAATAAATCCACAACAAACAAGAACCAACAATCAATGGACATTAATATCCCTCAATGTCAATGGTCTTAAACTGCTTATAAAAAGCTAAAGGCTAACAGAATGGATACGAAGACAGAATACATCCTTCTGCTGTATACAAGAAACACATCTCAACTTCAAAGAAACGCGTTGCCTCAGAGTAAAGGGTTAGGGAAAGATTTTCCAATCAAATGGGCCCAAGAAACAAGCTGCTGTAACAATCCTAATATCTAACAAATTAGAATTCAAACTAAAAAGAAATCAAAAGTGATGAAGAAGGGCATGTCATAGTCACCACAGGAAAAGTCAATCAAGATAAAGTGAACATCTATGTCCCAAATACAAAGGCACCCACATTTGTAAGAGAAACATTACTAAAGCTCAAACCACACATAAAACCACACACACTTATAGTAGAAAACTTCTACACCCTGCTTTCACCACTAGACAGGACCACCAGAAAGAAACTTAACAAAGAAACAAAGGCTCTAAGAGAAGTTATGACCCAACGGGGATTAATAGACATCTATAGAACATTCCATCTAAACACAAAAGAATATACCTTCCCATCAATGCCACATGGAACCTTCTGTAAAATTGACCACATAGTTGGCAACAAAGCAAACCTTCACAGATACAAAAAAAAATGAAATAACCCCCTGTATCTTATCAGATCTCCATGCTTTAAAGATAGAACTCAACAGCAATACAAATTGCAGAAAACCTACAAACTCGTGGAA